ATTGGTATGGGAGGGATGGTATGAGTGTGTGGGGGATATTGAAGAGATCTGTGTTGTAGCTTTCTGAGTGCCAAGTAAGGACACTAGGTGAAGTGCCCGAGGGCTCTAGCTCATTATTGACCATCTTGATGCATTGTTTGTTGTTCTGTTGCAGTGTTTGCAATGTTTGGAATGTGTCTCCAGCCAGTCGAGGAGCTCTAATGACAGCCGCCATTGTCCTCTTCATGTTCATGGGGTGAGAATTGACTCACTTTTCTCTCCTCTCTTTCTGTTTCAATATTCACTCTCTTTCGTACATAAAACTATAGTTTTGAACTCCTCATTTTCTTGCACTGAGCTTATTCCGGTATCTGGTTCCTCTCCTATTCCACTCAATGGGTCGCGAAAACCTCCCACATTCTCGCTCCGTAAAACTCCAAATGACTCAGTCCTCTCCCTCTCTCTCTCTGTCAGAGCGGCTGGAGGCTACCACGCTGCCAGACTCTACAAGACCCTGAAAGGCTCCGACTGGAAGAAGGGAGCTCTTCTGACTGCCACTCTCTATCCCTCCACCTTCTTTGGCATGGGCTTCTTCCTCAACTTCTCATCTGGGGGAGAAACACTCCCGGAGCCGTGAGTGATGATGTAACTTTTAGTCATGTGACTGTCACGTGATATACTCTCTGGAGCAGTGAGTATCACTGATGATATTGTTTTTGTCATGTGACTCTCGTATGTAGAATAGATGCAGTAGATCACATGACTGATCACATGACCTCTCCCTGCAGGTACCATTCACCACCATGCTGGCTCTGCTGTGCATGTGGTTTGGAATATCCTTCCCCCTCGTCTTCGGAGGTTCCTATTTCGGGTTCCGGAAACAGCCGTACGAACATCCAGTGAGGACCAATCAGATTCCTCGACAGATCCCCGAGCAAATCTGGTACCTCCATCCAGTCTTCGCGTAAGTACCTCTGATTATCAGTTGGTGCTCGTGCTTTTTCCAAACTTGTTTTCATCACTTTTTACACCCAATGTGGACACCTCTCTCTCCCTCCCCTCCACATCGTGCCCTCCCTCACTCACTCTCCCTCCCTCCCTCCTCTCCCTCCCTCCCTCCCTCCCTCCCTCCCTCCCTCCCTCTCTCTGTCGTCCCACAGATCAATGATTGCAGGGATCCTCCCGTTCGGAGCGGTGTTCGTGGAGCTGTTCTTTATCCTGACGGCCATCTGGGAAGACCAGTTCTACTATCTCTTTGGGTTCCTGTTCCTCGTCTTTGTCATCCTCATCATCGCCTGCTCAGAGGTCGCCATTGTCATGACTTACTTCCAGCTCTGTGGAGAGGTCAGAGTTCATCCCTGACTAATGTATATACAGTATATTGATGGCATGGTACCTGTATGTAGTATCATAGATGTATGGGGCTAATTATATGATACTAGGGAATGTTTTGTTCATCTTCTTCACGCAACTCAAAACCTAAACGACATAAAGTAATAGAGTCTGTGGAACAGAGTAATTACACGTAATCTTGAAGCCCTGTTTCTCTTTGTACTGTGCATGCTGAAGATATTTGTCAAATTTTAAACTCTCTTTCCATTGTCTCTCTCCCACCTCCCTCTGCATGTTCCCCCACAGGACTACCATTGGTGGTGGAGATCCTTCTCCCTCTCAGGTTCATCCAGTTACTATGTCATGGGCTACGCCATCATCTACTACTACACAAAGGTACCGTAGGGAGAACCCATCAGTCATCACTGTATGCTGTACAGTTTGATATCTGTATTGATGAGTAATGACTGTATGTGTATATACAGAACTGCAGTCATGACTCCCTTTTGAGCATGCATAACTTGATGATGTCATGCTGCATCACATGTCAGGTCACATGACCTCCATTAACTCCCCTATAGCTGGAGATAGTGAGTGTCGTATCGACCATGCTCTATTTCGGCTACACCATGGTTATGGTGTTGGGATTCTGGCTCCTCACCGGGACCATCGGCTTCTATGCCACCTACATCTTTATCTGCAAGATCTATGGAGCTGTGAAACAGGACTGACCAGTTTTCAGAACTCTTTAGGGGAGGGGCGTTTCTCTCACGCATACATACAATAATATTATACACATCCGCGTCGCAATATTAATGTGTTATGCATGTCAACCATAAACAAATAATTTCTTCTCAACATAAGGAGTCATAGTACATTGTGACTATACAGCTGGAATACATAATTATACTGTATATACAGTGTCCACTGCTATTAATAGCAACAAAATTGTGATGTAATGATAATGTGGTATATGAATGGACTATCTTTGATCTTCTTATTCATGGTGGTCTTTACAAACAGTTCTGCAGAATTTTGATAGAACAATGTTATGATTGGAAGCTGTCTCCAATTTCAAAGGATGAAAGTTCTAGGAACTTAGAGGCTCTGCCTAGACCCCAGAGTGTCAATCCCACCCAGGGCTGCTCTTCTTTTTTCTTTGAAATAAGTGTTGCCCTGATTGTTGTGGACCTTGCTACCTTGTGGTCACATGAATCAGCAAACTCGGGCTGGCTGAGATACTATAAGGGGACCGAGTGGGTAATACCCTCTTGAAAAGCACTTGACAGCAAAACAATGGTGGACATAATCCAGTGAAATCCCCTAAACACATTGCAACTAATTTCACACACAACAAACCAGCGAAAGTTGTCACAACTCCACTGATGTGGGATTACTAGGGCGTTTGGGGATGTAGAAACATGGCTAATGAGTAATGCATAGAAGTAATGGCTGGAGAGGGCTAATGCATAGAAATATGGCCAGAGAGGAGTAAGATTTGGCTGGTATCACAACACCATCTAGATACTGTAGCATATCACTACTCCATTCTCCTAAATACGATACACACTACGTTTCGGGCTCTTGCAGCCTTCTTCAGATGAACTGCAAAGTGATTACCAGTGTCACAAAACACAGACGGACCGTCTCTCTCTCAGGCAAAACATGTCCTCAAGCGCGTGTTACTACACACAAGCACTTCAATCATCTTATATCTCATGATACGACTTTTACTGTACTAAAATGGTGTGAGAAGATCACATGTCGGAATATGGCTCAGAGCTGAAAGGAGGGTTACCATGGGAATGCTGGGCTGGGGCTAGATGGGGAGATAGGCTCTAAATACCAGCAGAAGGGAAGGAAAAGTCACCAGTGGCCCTGGATGCTTTATCAAAACCACAAAGACAAAGAGAGATAGGTGGTAATTGCATTCCAGTGGAACAAGCAAATGGTTTTTGACCTTTCACCTGAGACATACATGCTATCATTCATTTATGTGGTGAAGATGTATACCACTCAACATTCGGTGTCCACGTGCATAATTATCAATCCTGGAGGGAAGCATATACACAGCTGAAATTTTGCACCCGCATTGCTTGCCAAAATGTGTATATAGCTTGCATGAAGATGCCATGATCACAATAAAACTGTACAAAACAACTGGTGTATATACCAACGTATCCATGCCTGGTATGATATAATTCTATGCTAAAATGTTTGACAAGTGAGATTTTATAGATGTGTGGGATGGTGTAACACTGCAAAAGGTGAGCTGTTGGAGAACAATAATTATCTCACCAGTAATCGCAGACTGAGTGAGATTCCTGCGGGTGTGTCATCTCACACCTTGCAGCACCTTCTCAGGGACTACTGTACTATGGCGGCTTATCGCCTCTTGTCACCCACTTGGGCCTAGCCTCCTCCCCTACTTCAGCCCCCTCTCTGTCCTCTTTGATCTTCTTCTAGCCCTGTCACGCCATTAGACCATTACACTGTGACACTAGTGCTATGCTTCCTCAATGACCTTATATACCAGTGCAGAAAAAACCATTAATGCTGAGCCTGGTGCTGAATGCATCAGTATGAAGTGCATTATCACATTAAGTGGAAATGACCAACATTCAGCCATATATAACAAGATCATAATAATGCAGTGTTTTATCTTCAATTATAAGGTATATACACTGCACCTCTTCAAGAGTCTTGACCTCATTCTCTCTCTGGGTTACCACACTATTGTTCCCTAATAGGCAACTGTGGAAACAGTGGCCTAAGGGTCTGACCTATACACTCTACAACAGATAGGGCCAGGTGCTAGGCAACTGTTGTTATACTAGATTAACAAAGTAGCAATAGTACCTAGCAACCTCCCTCCCTAGTCCTTTACCATCTGCTCTGAAGTTTTCTTTACACCAGCTCAAATAAGGCTGTAGATCACATGACTGATCACATGATCTTTACCATCTGCTGCTCCACAGTTGTCTTTTACACCAGCTAAAACAAGGCTGTAGATCACATGACTGATCACATGATCTTTACCATCTGCTCTGCAGTTGTCTTCTACACCAGTTCAAACAAGGCTGTCAGCATAGGCTCCAGTCACAGCCACAAGGAAGAGTCTACTGTGGAAAGGAAGACAGAAATAATGACGTCATACATTGTAGGGGCTCAAAAAAGCTGAGCTTTAGTGTTACGTCACAAGTATCCATGATTTCAAGGGGTTGATACTTAGTGTAATAATATAGCTATTATAGTGGTTGAAACCACTACCTCCAAGACCTAATGTTGTATATCGAAGTGGTACATGCCATTGTTTCAAGGAACACTGGGTGGAGAAAGAACAGAAGTGCAAGTTTTACTATACAAAAATCCCGCATGACAATCTGCAGTGTAGCTATCCACAAAACTGCAAGAAAGCTGCAAAAACACTAAACTGAGAAATCTAATGAAAAAACTACTGCAAAACACGATATTATTTCCCTGTATTTGCGACCTGCGTGCAGCAGTTTTGCACATCCACGTTTTTTTCTCAGGGCTAGCTACGGGCTGCCACGCTATAGGGTCACCCCATTCTGCACGCACGCACTGTACTGCAGACCAACGCGCGCGCGTACAGCCGCGTAAGCTGGTAAGCGGTCCGGATAACAGCTGAAACAACTTAGCAGAGATAACGACCTTCGAGTTGTAGCACAGCTGTGCGTTTGTTTTGCCAATTGTATATACTGTTCTATATACTACGCGGTGGTCTGGAATATAGGTGCGCATGCGCACCGCTAGGCCGGCCTATGCGGTGTTTTTGTCCTATTATTCTTTTCTATGAAAGCTCCTATTATTCCCACACTATTATTCTCAAGAAAAATGTATCGATTTTATGGCATTGTAAGTGTTCTAACTATACTGCGTGCTTTGAAAAACACTCGTGGGAAACTGTGCAATCTTTATAGCAGTGCCAATCTCTGACTCAGCCTCAATTCTTTCTGCAGCTTTGTCGACCTCCACAGGCATTGGTATCTAGTCCCCATGCAGAAACACGCACGCTTGCCCCGCCACCTCAGCTAGGAAGCAGCCTATTATTTTCTCGCTTATCTTCAAAATTATTCCGGAATAATTATAATAATCCGCCCTAATATTATAGCCGATCCGGGCCGGCCGCCGATCGACGCACCGCCGCACACGTCACATCACGTGAGAACAAAACAAAATTGTTGATCAAATGACATCGAACTTTGAGAAAAGAAATGTACAAATCTTACCAACAACAATCATTTTCTTCTCTTCACCCGTCGCCAATAGTAGAATTTACATCTTATTCCTTCTTCAGAGCCGTTCGGCTCCGTCCTCCGCCGTAGTTTATCGCGGCCCTAGTTCCATGCACTTCTTCACGCGAACGGCAACCCTAATGCGCTCCGTCCAAGTGAGCTTCTCGATATGCTGTTAGAAAACTGGAAGTCTTGTGTAAAGGTATATATAGCGGTGTGCGCGAGCATGAAAGGCTATTGTGTAAGTGTTGTCTGCCCGCACACAATACACAATGCGCCGGCTGGGCTGCGCATGCGCATGCGCACTAACTTTGCGTACGTTACGGCGGCGGACTGGAGAGCTCCCGGTCAGTGAAGAAGTATAACAGCAGAAAAATACAGCAGTTTTTTCAGCGATAGCTGTTTTACGAGCAGAGAGGCATGGTGAAGGTTTTTTTGTTAATTTTCCTCCACCAAAATACCGGTCTTCGTGATTCGAGCTACGCGCGTAATAACACGGCGCGCGTAACGTCCTGGTTGCATACGCAGGCGCGCTTGACCTTTGCACCTTCTTCCCCGTTGGCACTCACACACGCTTCAGTAGCTCTCCAAACTCCCCAGAGAGAGGTGTATAGAGCAGCGTTGCCGGCCGGGACAAACATGGCGGAGATCGACTACCTCTCGTACGCCTTCGCTGTCGTGGTGCTGGGCGGCGGAATTGTGGGCTTCGTGAAAGCCGGTGAGCCGACGCACGAGCTGGGCACGTGCACATGCGCGGATCGAGTCCACCCCCTTTATTAACACCCATTCGAAAAACACCTCTCTATAAAGGACACTTACTTCTACTACGTTAGTGTACCTCTGAGCACCATGTCCCCAAGGATTTCCTTTATAATTCAGGGAAGTTAGTTAATTAACCCTTTCCCCACTGTATGCAGGAAGTGTGGTATCCCTGGCCAGCGGGGTGGGGTTTGGTGTCTTGTTAGGTATTGGAGCCACAAAGACCACAGCTAACCGCAACAATTTCACCCTCCTCCTTGGTAAATCCTTTTATCTCTCCCCCCTCTCTTCTCTCTCTCTCTTTCTGTCTTTCTCTATCTGGATGTGTTACACTGATGGCGATTTTATCATCTTTTTTCGGTTAACACCTCACGTTTTGTGATTCTACCTCCTGAAATGATGATTTCTGCACACACACACACACACGCACAGCACACACTATCAGGCACATCTTGCCTCCTGTTGGCTGCGATGGGTTGGAGGTACTATAGCACTGGCAAGTTCATGCCTGCTGGCCTCGTCACAATACTCAGGTACTTATGTATGTATGTACATACGTATCTATATACCTGTGAGTAACGGACTCTACAAGAGAGGTGTCTCTTGTCTGAGGTTTCGCAATCCTGTTCCTTGCTTTGGCAAAGTTTTATTTCTTCTTCCCTCTCTGTTTTTCTATATATCCCCTCTTTCTATCCCTCCTCCCTCCCTCTTTCTATCCCTCCTCCCTCCCTCTTTTATCTTAACCCCTGGCGTCCAAAGTCTGGTGATGGTGATTCGTCTGTGTCTGCGTATGGTGTAAGTCGCATACCTTAACCCTTTGCACACTACATTTGAAATGACACACCCGAACTCCAATCCTTCACCGTTTATTGTGAAATTCATGTAAATTATAGCATTTTAATGTTGTAGCAAAGATTGTGTAATTGTATACTGTGTGGGATGACAGTGTGTTTGGTCGTCGTCATGGAAACCAATGTACAGTTATAAGCGATGTCATTCTGTATTTGTAAACAATTCAATAATGTCATTATGTCATTATGTCACTGGACAGATATAAGCGTGAAAGTAATCTCGCGTGTTGTAGCAATATTCTCCAGGCCACACCCACAAAGTGCTATAATCGTCAACTCTCAGGCAAATCAGCAGCAAGCTCCGAAGTGACACAACATCAAATGTAACAACAGTCTATTTTCGTACCAGATGTAGCTATAGACAAGAGCATGCGGCTTTGAGTAGTAGCTGCGACCGCAGATTTCAATAAATCGTTTTTCTATAGGGGGGCAGGGGGCAGGGGGCAAACTAAGCAATTTTCCGAACCCCATACATATTTTCACGTGGTGATGGTGTTGTTTTACCATCTAACAGCCAGTACTAACTTGGCTATCTAACAGCCAGTACTAACTTGGCTAACAGGCCGTCTTCAACCTCCGTGGTTTTGTCTATCTCCCTCCACGGCTGAGCCAGCTTCTCATCAACTCCACACCTCCGATAGATACAAAAATCCGTTGCTACACAACCAAACCACCTGATAACTTTTTTAAAGTTGATTTTCTCCGTATTTTGTTTATTAAGTGACATGGCACGAACGTGGAGTTAGAGGTATGAAAATCTTCTACGATTGTGTTATCGTTAATTTTCATGTGTGTGAATTCGTCTGCTGATGTGTGTGGTGTCGTGAAAAACACAAACATTAGCACGCGTGGGGAAGCCTTTTACGTTAACCATGTTTGTGTGTTTGTTTTGCGTGTGTGTGTCTCGTAGTTATGACTACGTCGCTAGCGAAAGTCGGTAAACATTCCGTACTTGGCAGTTCAATTTAGCGAGAAAGGAGTTAAAGTTGTGGTGAGGGAGAGAGTGTATTGGCGATGTCGCCGTGATGTAATACTACTGCAATTGAATTTATTTATTAATTACCAATTTCTCAAAGCGTGGGTACATACATACTTTATGTATCACTGGGTTTTATAGTCATTGAAGCAAAGCAAGCAAAAGTGGTTTATATTGCCGGTTTAATCATCCAAATGCACGTATCACATATTTTACACACATTCACTCTCCAACTGTTTGTTGGGTGATGTATTATTCAAATTACCCATCTATTCAGTTCAGTAGAGGGAGAAGTAGTTCAGCAATTTTCACTGTGGTGTAATCAAATTCCCTCCTACTGAGTACCGCAATGTGTTGACGATATTGGAATGATGTCATCACCCTCCATAAATGCCCCGCTAATCGATGCCGTTATCGCTGGCATTGTTTGCCTGACTGCGATAGTTTTTTCAGCCAACCAGACCTGTTATACACGGCGAGATAGAGAGAGGCAAAACTGTGTCGCTGATAAAATTAACACTCCTTTCATTTTCTGATATCTCGGCCAAGACTAGGTGAGGTGTGCAGGATGTGCAGATAGCCTTATGAGAGTTGTTTCCAAACACATCATTGGGAGTGTGCACGCGCCAGCAAGGCTTCCCTTCTGGACTCCCAGATGGCTGAGGAAAATCGGGTCTCCTCAATGGCTCTGGGCTGATTATACCATCTGGTGTATGCAGGGCCGATGCCAGAGTGCCATAGTCCTATATGCCTTCATTTGTTCACCTGCTTCCCTGGGTACACTTTGACTTCCAAATAGTAGGCGTGCTATTATTTTGGACCATCCCAATAAGGCTGTGATTTACCATCTGTCGCTGAGTTTATAAGTTGCATACATAATATGAAGGAAGAAGAGCTAGTACAGGTAGCTACTTCCAGATCACTTATCTTTTGCTAAATTAAGCAATTCCAAAGCTATGACATCCAGTGGCAGCTAAAACAACACCAGCTGTGGAACCTCTTGTTGGACAGTGTATACCCAGCTGAGTAACCAAATACTACGTGCTTATCTCTACCTGGATAGTATTCCAAGTAGGACAGAGGTTAGGCTTGTTTCAGGGGAACTGTGTCTTACTGAGGAACCTAGCCTTCTATTTCTGGTAAATTCTTCCTTGCTTGTAGAGCATGTGTGTGTAAGGTGGAGAAAATATTGATTTCCAGCTCAGCCCTAGATTTGCACATCTATAAAACAGGTAGTGGATACTCTGCGATTTGTGTCAATGGGGTGGTAGGTAATTCAAGTGCTGAGTAAACTTTGAAGCAGCTATAAAGATGCACTACATTATTAATTGAGTGTGAAAGGGTTTGCTGAATCGAACTTTAACCACCATTTTTCTCAATTCCATAATTCATCAAAGCGACCTATCTATATATACCTCCAAATATTTCCGACACACCATATATACCAGAAACTACACAAGTATTCAGCAGATTATTGCTATTTGTGTAATTCAAGTATATACTGAGATTATTATGGGATGTCCTCAGTTTTGTGAGCGTTTATTTCCTTGTTTTCATATTTCACCCGTAAAAACAGTCAGCGGAATCTGTTGTACAATTCTGAATTAGTCATGTATATTATCATGTATTGTGAGTGTATCGTTTCCAGTCTTTCTCTTTGTAATGGGGTGAAATCAGTCGTGGTAGTCTTGGAAACAGACGTGTCTGGTGAGAGTGACAGGGCATGTATACTCAGAGCTGTTGTGAGAGTGTCAGCCACACCGATTGTTGCTGTGGTTGCGTTGCCATGAGCGTTATCGTGGAATGCCCCACATGAACACCTGTGTCCCTCTTCACATGTGGGGAGACTTAGTGCGATGGTTGTCTGGGACAACCTAGGTATATAACAACAGGATGTGAAAAAAATGAGCGTTCACCCTTGAAGTAAGCTAGTGCACAACAAAGAAGAAGAGTGCAAGTTTTATCAAGCCATGTGCGTTCCTTGAGAGGGTGTCCTACTTGTGTGAGACGAGAGAGTGAAGTGATGGTTGTCTGGAACATGGCTTGCTACCGTGACAACAGAATGAATGTGGTTCTGTTCTCTTGCAGGAGAGAGGAGGGTGCGAGCTTTGCTAAGTATTACTTAGCATGTAGTGAGAGGGGAAGCGGTAGTTGTCAAGACAAGGCTTGGAGTGTCACTACAAGACGTCAAAAAATGAACGTCAATCACTGGAGGAAGTGTCTCCTCCTACAATAATATAGCATTTTTGAATGGCTCATAAACAGTGCAATTTGCAGTGTTTCTCTCCTCACGGTTCTCACTGCAAGTGGTAGTGTGCAGACTGCAGAGATCAATGTCCATAGTATGTATCCCGATCCATGATGGAGATCAGTGTCCATAGTATGTATCCCGATCCATGATGGAGATCAATGTCCATAGTATGTATCCCGATCCATGATGGAGATCAATGTCCATAGTATGTATCCCGATCCATGATGGAGATCAATGTCCATAGTATATATCCCGATCCATGATGGAGATCAATGTCCATAGTATGTATCCCGATCCATGATGGAGATCAATGTCCATAGTATGTATCCCGATCCATGATGGAGATCAGTGTCCATAGTTTGTATCCCGATCCATGATGATAAGTATTATTGTGGAATGATACATTCTGAAGACTGAAGGTTTACAGAGGGTTTGGCTAGCCCCAGGGAACAGATTTAGCTGTTACAACATCTTCCATCTTGTCAAAACTTTGCAGCCCACTGACCCATTGTTCCACCTGTAATATCAATATCTCTTTTCCCTTGCCCACAACCTCCCTCCTCTCCTTCCTCCCTCCACCTGGGATTAACCTGTCGCCTGACTCGTGCGCCGTGCAGCTGTAATTTCGTCCAAGCATGGGAATTCCCAATGACTGTAGCTACTAACTGACCAGCGAAGCAGCCGTGCACTTGCTATACATGCAGCATGCATACAGCATTAGCTAAAGGTTTGAGTCCCCTAAACTGTTTAGTATATATACTGGCTCTGCAGCATCATGTCTGTACTTGATGGGCTGTAGGCAGAATTTGCTGCAAGATTGATTCAATGGTAGTGTTAATGATGATTGTGCCCTGTGTGTGCCCAGACCCCACCCCCAAGAGAGGGTCTGGTGACAGTTAAGTGTTTTCTTCCACGTTCGCAATCATCATCATTCTACTGTATAATTATAGTCATTATGTAAACTGGAGGATTTGTAAGCAAATAATGGCATGGGCGCCCATGCAGTTAATCTGTGGATATTATGTAAATTTCAAACCAAGTCGAAATGTTTGTGCCTATACTGCAGCCTCTATTTGCCGTCAAGTGGTGCCCTTTTCGCGTCTCCTTGTATATCCATCGCTGGTGTAATGTTGTTGTTTACTTTGCGGAGCTGTTTATCAGACTTCCTAGCAATAAACAGTGTGTCTAGAACCGCTCTGTGTGTACTCTTCGCACCCCAACTGCACCCACCTCCATGTGGGGTTAGTCGCAATGTCGTTAACGCAACTACGAACGGACCACTGGAGATGATATGTCTTCCTCTCTTGCTACGAGATCCTGCAGCGTCTAGCCGCAGGTGCCAGGTTCAACTGCCCAGTTCTCACTGCCCGAATAGTTTTTATTTACAACACAAACACGTGGGAAGCACAGTACGCCGTAAGTAAACTGGGCTAGGTGTTAGACTATATAGGCAATAGAAAACAGAGCAAACGTAAGAGGTAATAACCCAACACACTCGTGTTGCCATTTCCTGGTGTGACAGGCCACGCCAGCTGATAATGGGGAAGATTCACATGACATTGGACAATGTTTTCCAGCCTGCGGAGACTAAACCAGCAGACTCTGTGGTCAAACAGACCTCTATAGAGCAGTGGACCATGTGGCAAGATTGGTGCTATGAATTTCATTACCACAACCTCAGGCCTTGTTGAATTCATAAGACTTGAGTGACACTGTTAGTGGATTATTAATATTTGAAGGGGTTGCCCACCATTGTTTATTGAAAGTGAAAAATGTTCAACATAGCTAATGCAAACTTGTGTCATCAAGACACTATTAAGCAAGTAATGATAAAACTTTGGCTGAGTTGTTGTCCAAATGTGACTTCTATGAAATTCTGAGAAAGTTTCTTGCGTAAAATCTTTTTTGTTGTGTGGAGCACTGGATGCTATAATTATGCTGACGTCTGCAGTGTTACAGGTGCCTCAGGTGTCCTCAGATGTGTGCCTCATGACCAGCACGTGACCAGAAAGTGAGCTCCACCGATGTGTTCATGCGCTGTACTAATGCAAGGTCTACAGATATTTACATTCACTACAAGAGAGAGAGTTTTTTCGTTTCTTCTTACTTATTTTCGTGCTTGACCAAATTTCTGATAGGCCCCTTACATCAATGCATTGCATGTCTATGCCTGCAAAGTGCATCCCAGTAGTAGGGCGCACGTGAGGTTGATTTCCGTATAGATTTCCGGATCCCTCGCGATTACTACGTAGTCTTGCGCGCATTGTTTTACTTGCTCCATATTATGCCCGAGGCGATAATTTCGTTTGGGACAATATCCGCTGGAGTGCTAGCCCAAGTGGCGCGGTATAAAAGACCTTTTTCCCGGGAAGGTTTCGCTGTTACGCTGCGAAAATCACTGAGTTTTGCCGAAAATGACTGCGGTGGAACAAAGCTGTGGAGTGGGCACTTCACCGACGGAATGTTCAACCGAGAGAATCATTATGCCTAGCAACTGCATCCAACAGATCTGCGCCGAGGCCCGGGTGAAGGAAAAGAAAGACCATATAAAACGGCCTATGAACGCGTTCATGGTCTGGGCGCAGCTTGAGCGGAGGAAAATGACGATGGAATTTCCCGACATGCACAACGCGGAGATCAGCCGGAGACTCGGGAAGCTTTGGCGCATCTTACCTGACGGGGAAAAGCAGCCGTACGTCGATGAATCGGAGCGACTTCGAGTCCTGCACATGAAGCAGTATCCGGACTACAAGTATCGTCCGCGGAAGCGCGGGACGAAGAAACCGGCGAAGCTCCTATCGGAGATTTCGGTGGGGCCGACGACGGGCGGCTCAACGTGCAGCTGCGGGAAGAGCGTCCCCGAGCGCTGCACGGTGGGGATCCAGTGTAGTCTGGACTCCGCGGACGAGTGCAGCGTGGAGCGACTGCTCCCCGAGCGAAAGACGGCAGAAATATCCATTCAGGTCGGTAACGGCCTCGCGCATCTCACATTCAAGACCATAACCCCGCGCCCGCGACCCTCGTCGTTGCCAACTACTGCAAACGAATCCCCGACGGCCGTGCCGCAACAAACGTCTTCTTCGACGGGGACCGAATTGACACGGTGCAGCCCCGTCGTCGTGCGTAAAAAACGACCGAGTCCCATAGAAAACCCAGCGGACCTATCTCCGCGACTGAAGAGACCCAAGGGCACCGGGGCTCAGCCCCAGATGCTCGCCGCCGCGCAGTCGCAGTTGACGCAACGGCCCGTAACGACATCAGTTTCGCAGCTTCTGCCGCTGCAACAGGGGAATGCGAAACCTCCGCCTCTACTCCCCGAGCAGGCGCCACCACTGACGCTGGAATCAGCCTTCCCTCTTTCTCCCCCTAACTCCACGTCAAATTCGCTCAGTGACTTCGACTTTGAGCTACAGCTCTCTCCGTTCTCCTCAGACATGGATTTCGGACTCCCGAACATTGATTTCGATGACATACTGGACCCCATCAACCTACCAGCGGCCCACTCCGGACCCATCTTCAGTAGTGTTAACGCATCACCTCCGCTCAGCTCTGCCAGCGACTCTAGTGGTGGGCTCAACTTTACAGAAAACGATAAACTGATTTTCGATTTCTCTGACATATCTCCCGACTTTGCAGAGTTGTTTGTGCAGAACCCGTATTCTGAGATGGATTCTTCCATTTCTTCCCTCATATCCTCCTAACAGCTCTCCTTTTCTCTGCCTTTTTCTTTTCTATATAGTGCAAAAATCTATCTCCACGCTCGTCTCTCTACTATTCACAGGTCCACAAATCACTCTCCAACTACTTATTTTTACCCTCTCCCTCTATCTCAATACCTAGTCACCATTCACTTTTATACATCCACAAATCACTTCTATCATTGCCTATTGTTCCAGATATTTTATTTTTGTGCTTCTATAATATTATAAAGAGAATTTCACTTTTACACTCCTTTTGCAAAGCAACGTTATTTTCCTACCTACTGCAAATATTCCAAAAGTTATTTTTACAGCTTAACAAGAACATCTTGAAATTGCAAGTTATTATTGAAAGGAAACTTGTTATCACTATGAGCCACAATTAGCCCTTGCACTGTTCTGTTCTGTAGTTAAAGAATCTCTATAAACTGAAGAGCCTGCTTTTTTAGGAAGACTAGTGCTGCAGCTTCAGCTACCCTCCTATAACCAGCAATATAGGATTGCAGAATAGGAATTGGCTGCAGCTTAAAGCTCAAGAGCATTAGTTAATAGTTCGGAGGTTTTCTGTAGCCTTTAAATTTGCATAGTGGTATATAGTTTTGCAATTAGTATGAAGGAAATGCACAAAGAGAAAGGGCAGGAGTAAAGATTTGCAAGCAGCCTAGGGTTGGTCCCTGCCAGGAGACTAAAGATGCATGTGGTTAGCTTATGCTAGCCCTTGCCCCTAGCTTTTGGTATATAGTCCTCAGGGTTTACCGCTGGTCAGCTAAGCTTGTATAATAAGACTTAAAATAGGCTATCTGCCCACCTGCAGGACATGCCTGGTCTGTGAGAGTAAAGCTTGTGGGCCCCTCTCTCTAATGATGTATCATAACAACAGATGTGCCGAGTACAGTGTCCCTGGAGATGGTAGGAAATCTGTGCTTGAGTCTGCAGAGAGGAGGAAGCTAACTCTCTCCATAGATAAGATAAGAGATTCTGCCTAAACACACATTCCCACCTTACTGGTAGCTATGGCCTGAGGTGCTCTGGACAGAGTAGGGACGACAGGAAGGAAGTGTCAATGTCAGCTCTCAAATAATTCCCTGAATGTAGTGTATCTCTGGTGATCTTGTGAAGGTAAGTTCATCCCTGTTTTTTTGTTTTAGGCCACAGTAATAATTACTTTCTTATAATACTGCATTTCTTTACACATAGGATATAGTATCTAAGATGGACCCTCTGAATGAACGACACTACTCTAAAGGGCGAGGCACATGCTCGCCTACCAGGCTCGCGGTTAGCCCATGACCAAGTGATCAGCATCATGAGCACACCTGTATAGCATGGCACCACGTGAGCTCATACAAAAGGACAGTTTTCTATACTTGAGAGGCCTGTTGCCTAGCAAAGACCAAACATAGCCCTAGCCAATGATTAGAGGGGTAATCTAATAAACATTTTCTACTACGAACAGGCGTTTGTTTACTACGTTCTGTGAAGGGGAATGCGATATTTCTAGTAGAATATCAACATCTCTTTGATGTCAGTTCTCATTCCACTTAATCTAATAGATATTAATGTGCCCACATCAATCCAGTGTCCTAGACAGAATTCTCTGGTATGCTGGACTGTTAATATTCATAGATTTTTTCCTCGTTTTTCCCTATCGCTCTGTCTCCAGTTGCTTCCTGAGCTAGCCTCGTTCTGCGTGGCCTTTTTACGGCTAAGGCATGCAATTTTTTTCACGAGATGATTCATCTACGTCACTATTGAGTACTGTACTTCTGATTTTGTTTAATGCATACTCTATGAATGGGCAATAAAAACGAGAAGGCGTCGTTGTATATTTGTGAAAAGCAGCAGGCAATAGCCTCTCTTTTAAGGAGGCATCCTCTCTTTGAACTAAACATTAGCATTAGTAAAAGATAAGAGAGAGGGAGAAGAGAATGGAATATGAGGGAGAGAGACAGCTATATAAGGAGGAGAGCTCTGCTCTATACCAGCTATGCCCATTGCTGGTGGCCAGCTGATTCTCTGAATGTTGTTTTTGGCTGTTTTCCTCCAGCCTTTTATCTCCCTCAAGTTACCCCAGCAACAGCCCTGTTGCCCAGCAAGCTTCCATCCCAGTGTTTCCACACACAATAGTTGCCCTGGCAACCATTATCTTCAGAGGAAACCAGGAATTCTCATCAGAAAGAGCAGGCCCTTGGAGACTGATGATGTATGTTCTATATAGTAACTGGAGCCAGGCTCTGCGTGCTTCACTAACTGTTTCAGTGCTTCCAACCAAAGTCTTTGGACATAGTTCTGGAGTTTTTGCAGACTTTCCTGCTGTTTTTGAGCTGGTGTATCGTATGTTGGGGGAAACTGTGGATCATGCAACAATGTTGCTGTGATGTAATCATTTCAAAATTTCAAGGGATTGGGTGCGTGATCGAGACACGTAACACTGCAAAGGATACTTTTACAGGTGGCTGTCATAAGTCACACCATAACTAATACTGATTGTCCATAAGTCACACCATAAGTTCTCCCCCTCCTACTCTGAGTTCCATGCTACAATAGCTGGGATACTATATACACAGGTAAGAGTGTGGTTGGTGGAGGATTGTTTACTGCCCCGGCCCCTCTTTCTGCCCGGAGACCCCCTACATTTGCTACAGTTCCCCCTCACGGCCAACTCTGTCTGTCTTCTCAGTCTCACTGTACCGACTGTCTGTCAGACAACACACAGGAACAGTGGGCAATGTGCCACTGTCGCCATAACAACAACAACTGCAGCAAGGGCTGTATAATAATGTTGTAATCTCCGTGTGCTATTTTTAGGTATATACACTACGTTTGGGATTAGTGCTTTACTCATTCAATAAAGTATATAAATAGGAAAAGTCAATGAAAAAGATAATTTTCGTGTCATTAAATTTAACCACCAGCTAAAAAATTCATCACCTATGACATAATTTTCAATGACGTCATTGCTTATGATGTCATTGGTTATTGAGGTTTCTTTTGTAGAGAGAAGCAGTAGATATTGAAGTGACTGCACAGTTGTTGGACCTGTTCAGAGAGAGGAGTTTTTAAAAATCTGACAGGTCAATTGAAACAGAATTTTGATGAATCTCTCTCTCTCTCTCAAGCACTTACCACTGAAACTCCATAGTGGAGATGTGCAGTTAAAGAAATGAAGAAATATGTCCAGAGAATGTTGAGCTCGATGTGTTGGTAGAGGAAGGAGAGGGAGAGGGAGAGGAGGAGAGGGAGAAAGAGAGGGTTGAGTAGTTGACACGGTTGGTCAGACATCTGGGAGATGATCAGTCGACACTGGAGGGAGGGAGGGAGGGAGGGAGGGTGGGGAGGGTGGGTGGAAAACAAAGAGAGAATAGAGGGGAGCACAAGTTAACAACTCAATCCGCTTTCAGACAGATTTCATGCAAGATATTTGCGTACATGCACCGAAAAAACATGCAAAACACAAAACCATGCATTTTTTGAAAGCCGTGATGACATAAATGCGTTGTGGGATTCTAAAAGTGTGTGGCCGGAGGAGCACGTACAGAGATGTTGGAGAAGACAATTCCGAGGACAAAGTAGAAAATCCTCGGCTCCTTCTCCACAATATCTGTCAGTGAGAACTGATGCCACACCCAGAATAACATCGTCATGACGACAAATGCAGACCATGGCAACAGTGCCTGGAGCAGAGACAACCTCCTCGGATGAGGGTCCGTTCTGGGGTTAAAGGTCAATTAGCGCACGTGTGGGGTTAAAGTCAAGGCTAACCTGTTGCTATAGTGACAGTAGATGTTCCATAAACTCATGGGGAAGGATCCAATAAAAGCTGCAAATGAAAGAGCATTATTATATTCGTCAATTGTTCCCATGATCAAGATGTCCGTAGTCATGTGATCATGTACAATCGACAGTACTTTATAATTATAGTAACTGGCACAATTCATATGGAGGTGAGTTTGTCAAAGAGCGACTGACCTAGTTCTAGAACCCACACCAGCAGCTGCTGAATGAGAAGACCAGGCAACAGTTCATACTGCCACAGTCCTGTCCCCCAGATCCCCGTTGCTAGGTAACAAAACCCACACGCCTGGACAGAGGAGAATGATAGAAAGAAGGAGAAGGAAGTAGAAGAAGGAGAAGCGACAAAGAGTAATAGAGAGAGAGAGAGAGAGGAGAGAGAGAGAGAGAGAGAGATATGTACTTGTGAAGTGAAAAGAGTGTTTCAAAAGGAGAGGAAGTTGTCACACGAATCTTTTAAGGTAATTTGCAGCATATTATTACTTTTTCTATAGCTCGAAATGCGTACATGAAAAAGCTTCTCATTATAGAATACTATCTACCAGTTGCATGATGTCATAGAATACTACCTACCAGTTGCACGATGTCATAGAATACATATAGGTTAGATGCGGAGCCGAGGTGACTACGCGTGGTAGAGTGCCGAGGGCTCCCGAGCTGTCGGCGTCCCGAGCGCAGCGAGGGCGCTACTAGACTAGGGAGCCCGAGGCACTCTACCACGCGTAGTTACCGTGGCGACGCGTCTAACCAGTTTAGATCCATTCAAACTGTTTGCGAAGATATGGCAGCGCCAGGCGAGCTGTTACTATCTTGTCTAGACCAGGAAGACTCCGAGAAGGAACTCGACATACTCATGCTCGCCGCGAGCCAATCCTCGAACGCTCTGGAAAGATACGTGCGCGTAGAGTGGACGGAGCCCTTTTCCGCGAAGCGCGGCGGACGACGAGGGAATGCTGTAGCTTTAGCCTACCGTTTCTGGCTCGCCGCTGGTAGCTGAAACCTCGCTCGAGTCTCTTACCTATCACGTCTTCACGCTCGCTCCCCTATAGATCCCGTCGTCCGGGGCAGCGGGATCTACGGAAAATATATCCCGCGTTTGGACCAATGAAATTGCGCGATTTCAAATCACCGGGATCTAATACCTACCAGTTGCATGCATGATGTCATAGAATACTACCTACCAGTTGCATGATGTCATAGAATACTACCTACCAGTTGCACGATGTCATAGAATACTACCTACCAGTTGCACGATGTCATAGAATACTACCTGCCAGCTGCATGATGTCATAGAATACTACCTGCCAGCTGCATGCATGATGTCATAGAATACTACCTACCAGCTGCATGATGTCATAGAGCCAGGGAAGGTACATGACCCCGGTGACGTACTTCTCCCAGTGACTGACGTAGAAAGCCCCGAGGACAGAGACACAAGGCCAGAAGTCGTCGCTGGCTGAGATATGCCATCGACCAAACACTGAGGCGAGGCACACAGGGAGCAAGATGGCCGCCCAGCTGTCGAGACCATGATCAAATAACTCTCCTATATAGAGGGGGACGGGAAGGACAAATAGACACTTTGAGTAAGAGAATAACTTTTAATGCTACGAATAGTACGAATCATACCATTGCACTGTCAATGTCACTATGCCACAAAGTTATGCGTTAGATTTTTTCATTCACAACCATTTGCTCTATATAGCCCCAGGGAACTCACCAACAGGTGTGCTGCTCTATATAGCCCCAGGGAACTCACCAACAGGTGTGCTGCTCTTTGTGCGTCGAGCCTGCTTCCCATCAATCCCGTCCAGAGCATACCCCAGGTAATGACCAACAGAACAATAGAACCACACCCACCGGGGGATCGGAGACCTGACCAATGAGGTTCCGCTCCCGGTGGTTGCCGTGACGTCCCAGTCGTAGTAGGAGAGGAGGAGGAAGTTGGAGAGGATGAAGAGCCAGCCTGTGATGGTGATGAGGTTGGGGGCCACCCACTGCGGACACAGCTGGTGGGAGTGGGGGAGAGAGATATAAAACTATATACCACTCAAGTGAGCAGTGAACCTACCAACCTAGCTGTATTAGTAATGGCATAGCAACAGGGAAATAGGCAAAAATGTACACCAACTTCTTGGCAGGTTTTACAATTGTATGCATATACCCAACTGCAAAACCTGTGACCCGGTTTGTGTGTTGATGATATCCGTCTCCTCCTTCTTCCCAACTTACCGAGACCATAAAGTCCCACGCTGGCTGGATGACATAGATAGACAGGGGAGAGGTGTCCACTGCGCGATACTGCAGGGGAAAAAAACATGGAATCAGTCATTTGCAGTGGAAATGGATTCATTGTGCATCGCAGATGCTATACATAGATGGATGTTCTATGTGGTGCATAATGCTATGAATAACATGGAGACGAACCGCTTGAGGAGCTAGTAGTTAGACCTGCCACACCCGACCTACGTTACGATACCTCCCACGGCACAGAAAGCCTTCACCTTGTAGCGATCGAAACCCCGTAGATGGGCGGAGGTGAGGTACGGATATCCCGCCATTCTCCCGCTCAGTCCCCAGCAGAGAGAGGTCCACGACGATGCTCCTTCTTCCTGAGGAGCAGCAGGGGGGGAAAGCTCTGTCATCACCTGATCCACGAGAGATATTTGCCACACCTCCCCTCCGCCCATTTTTCAAGCCGCGGAACACTAATTACGCATGCGCAGTCACATATTCTTAGCGGCACTACGCATGCGCGCTTGGCCCTACACTGCACTGGTGGTAGAGCCGATGCGGCGCGGGGGAGGATCTACTAAGACTATTAACAGTAACAAACTTTCTCAGCATCAGATCAGCAGTACGTACGAGAGAGAAGGATGGGCGGTAACTCTAGCACGCTTTCCAAGTCGCAGTCTTCGCGAGACCGTCTCCTGAGCACTGGCAGCGACGCGTCCTCGCTCGCCGACACCCCACTGCACGTACTGGAGCCGTGGCTGCTCTCCGGGGTCGAGGAGACGGGGCGGGAGCTGGGCAGCGGGTCCTACGCCGTCGTTCGAGAGCTGGAGTTCCGCGGGAAGAAGGTGGCGGGAAAGAGGCTCCACGAAGCGCTATTCGAGTCCGCGTCGCCAGAGAAGCGGGACGACATGCTCTCGAGGTTCGCTCGTGAATGCGGACTCCTTCAGTCGGCCAAGCATCCAAACATCGTCCGTTTTCTTGGAGTTCACGTCGAACGAGAGTGTCCGCTTCCTTACCTCGTCATGGAGTATTTGGACACCACCCTCGCGGGCTATCTGCAGAAAGCAGGAATCCCCGAGCCGTCAGTTTACTATAACATCTACTCAGATGTCGCTCTGGGTCTTCGCTACATGCACGGGCAGTCGCCGCCGATCATCCACCGCGACTTGTCCGCCAACAACGTCCTTCTCACGTCGTCTCTCCACGCAAAGATATCTGACCTGGGCGTCTCCAAAGTATTGGACGTGACTCCGTCGGAGAAGACTCGTGTGACGATGACTGCGGGTCCCGGGACTCACTGTTACATGCCGCCAGAGGCACTGGTAGACGAGCCCCGCTACGACACGGCAATAGACGTGTTTTCCTACGGGATTCTGATGCTCCATGTTCTGTCCAACGATTGGCCAGTGCCTTGTGCACCAACCATGATCGATCCTAGCAACCCGAATCGTGTTCTCCCGGTGACTGAGTTTGAGAGGAGAATTCACTGCGTTGCAAGGATAACAGAGGGCATCGACCACCCTGCGATCCCTCTCCTTCGCAAGTGTATCCACAACAGTCCTGCCAATAGACCCAACATGAACACCGTCACCAGACTAGTCATGGAGCTGCAGGTGAGCAGACAAAATGGGTAGAAAACCCTGTCTATAGTGACTTCTCAGCCGTAAAACAGTTTTGTTAGATAGTTTCTTTAGCTATGGAGGTCAGAATCAATTGTATACGCAGGCATTAGGCATTAGTAATAACGTGCAATATCTGTCAGACAACCAGACAGTTGGTGTGCATTACCTGTGAGCAGCTTGGAAATACAATCTTCATTGAACACCTGCTTCGAGTACCTCTGTTGCTAATGAACACTACGGAAGAAAACTCCATCACTTGAACATTTTATTGCTTGAATGCCTGCATAGAGTAGATAATGTATTCTTTTCCTCTCTTATTGTTGCTACTTGTTTATTCTATGCTACAAGCTTAGGAGTCTTGGGAGAGATTAAGACTGCTCTTCTGTCTCTCTTCTTTCTTCCTAAATTTTTCCTCAAGCTGAAAGCAGACGAAGGGAAGGTGTACCACCCGAGGCAGTCCTACGACCCCACCTCACCCAGTGAGGTGTCTCTTGGAGTTGGAGACGATGTACGAGTCTTTAGAAACAGCCGTAAGATGCTGAAGGCCTACTGCCTCACCTCGGGGGAGGTAGGATATGCTCCAGCTGACATCCTCAGACGATTGTAAGCACGAGTCACACTGATGGTAGTAGCTAGCAGTATGTGAGAGCTAGCAACTACAGTTTATAATATGTATTTGGGGCTTCAACTCCCAAAAGTTCCAATGGTTCCTAATTTTATGCTAAGTTCAGAGGCAGCAAGATAAGCAAGCATATATACCTTTCATGTGAATTGCGCAATGTCAACAATGGGCACTATATTAAAATCACAGAAATTTTACACTTCATCAAATTATTTTGATGTATACTGGTACATTAAACTGAGGCCCACTTCCCAAACAGCTATGAGGGAAGAAATACCAAATTAATGAGGCATCTTGATTGGCTATGCTTCCTCGTTTATAACTTTCTCATTCCACTGCCTTCCCTATACAGAATAATTATAATCTAAACAATTTCTAAAGATATCAAGTAATATGGGAACAAATCCCTGAACATGACACTGTGGTTGACCGGTACTATAATCATTGGACACTTGAATAATCTGTGGGGCTGTTCAACATCTTGTTAAGTAGTGGGCCAGCCAGACAGACTCATTAGAGGGTGGATTGTAGGAGCTGCTAACAATTATTAACAAACATGTTATGTCCCATGACATGTCCCTAGTGTAATTGCAACAGGGAATAAGTATGCATTGCGAATGAATGAGGCTTCAGAATTGGCATATAGGAGGTTTAACTAACAGGAAGTGTGACACACTGTAGACTGAATGAGGCTTCAGAATTGGCATATAGGAGGTTTAACTAACAGGAAGTGTGACACACTGTAGACTGAATGAGGCTTCAGAATTGGCATATAGGAGGTTTAACTAACAGGAAGTGTGACACACTGTGGACTGAATGAGGCTTCAGAATTGGCATATAGGAGGTTTAACTAACAGGAAGTGTGACACACTGTGGACTGAATGAGGCTTCAGAATTGGCATATAGGAGGTTTAACTAACAGGAAGTGTGACACACTGTGGACTGAACTGAGGAGGCTATCAGAATTGGCATATAGGAGGTTTAACTAACAGGAAGTGTGACACACTGTAGACTGAATGAGGCTTCAGAATTGGCATATAGGAGGTTTAACTAACAGGAAGTGTGACACACTGTGGACTGAATGAGGCTTCAGAATTGGCATATAGGAGGTTTAACTAACAGGAAGTGTGACACACTGTTAGACTGAATGAGGCTTCAGAATTGGCATATAGGAGGTTTAACTAACAGGAAGTGTGACACACTGTGGACTGAATGAGGCTTCAGAATGGCTATAGGAGGTTTAACTAACAGGAAGTGTGGACACACTGTAGACTGAATGAGGCTTCAGAATTGGCATATAGGAGGTTTAACTAACGGAAGTGTGACACACTGTGGACTGAATGAGGCTTCAGAATGGCATATAGGAGGTTTACTAACAGGAAGGGTGACACACTGTAGACTGAATGAGGCTTCAGAATTGGCATATAGGAGGTTTAACTAACAGGAAGTGTGACACGCTGTAGACTGAATGAGGCTTCAGAATTGGCATATAGGAGGTTTAACTAACAGGAAGTGTGACACACTGTGGACTGAATGAGGCTTCAGAATTGGCATATAGGAGGTTTAACTAACAGGAAGTGTGACACACTGTGGACTGAATGAGGCTTCAGAATTGGCATATAGGAGGTTTAACTAACAGGAAGTGTGACACACTGTAGACTGAATGAGGCTTCAGAATTGGCATATAGGAGGTTTAACTAACAGGAAGTGTGACACACTGTAGACTGAATGAGGCTTCAGAATTGGCATATAGGAGGTTAACTAACAGGAAGTGTGACACACTGTAGACTGAATGAGGCTTCAGATTGGCATATAGGAGGTTTAACTAACAGGAGTGTGACACACTGTAGACTGAATGAGGCTTCAGAATTGGCATATAGGAGGTTAACTAACAGGAAGTGTGACACACTGTGGACTGAATGATGCTTCAGAATTGGCATATAGGAGGTTTAACTAACAGGAAGTGTGACACACTGTAGACTGAATGAGGCTTCAGAATTGGCATATAGGAGGTTTAACTAACAGGAAGTGTGACACACTGTAGACTGAATGAGGCTTCAGAATTGGCATATAGGAGGTTTAACTAACAGGAAGTGTGACACACTGTAGACTGAATGAGGCTTCAGAATTGGCATATAGGAGGTTTAACTAACAGGAAGTGTGACACACTGTGGACTGAATACAGTTATAGAGTTCGGAGTTAAACGGAAGATTGTTATAAATTATTAATGAGCCCATGTGGTAGGAATAATTTTAAAGTGATAGAGGTTAAAGAGAAGTTGCACTATTGACCCAATAACAGGACGGTAGTTTGAGAAGGTGGTATATATGTATGTGTTCATGTGGCCCATGGTTCAAATTAACATGGAGCAGCGGTAGCTGGAGGTACTGACTGAAGTCATTGCTCCAAGGAATGCCTTTGATCATGAACACTGCTCATATTCATGGAATGTGCCTCCCAGCGATTATTATAGCTAGCTAGATTGGTAGCTAGTATGGGTGGATCGTATAGCTGTGTATAAAGATCATGATTATAGCTGTGTGTTGTTTGTGTGAGGATCATGCTACAGGTTATGTATCTAATGGACGATGTTGATTGTATGCAGCATCATTGCTCTGTTTAGTATAGCTATTATGCAAGAGCTCTGATCCTATCAAGGACAGGTGTTTGTAGGTTACAGAAGAAGATTTTGTGCTTTAGTTGCACACATAAGCTGCATACCATGTTGCCGTTGATGGTGAAATATCTGCCAGAGTATCTGCAGCGAACATGTTTCTCACAATCTCTGGAATGTAGCTCCTCCCCCTCTCATGTATTGTAACACATGGGGGGGGGAGGCAGTTGTAAAATCACTTTCTAACCTTGTCCTTCACCCCCAATTAGGTACTTCATAGTAATTACACACATTGGGTTCATGACATCATTCTATAATAATTCCACAATTGGGGATTAGTCAATTAAACAATATATGTGTCTCTATAATATTATCAGTCTCCATCTCGTGGAGGTGTGCTTCAAAAATGTAGGAAAGCGGTGCAGTGTAAGCACATATTATAACTCCCTTGTTTTCACAGTGGTATATAGTGGAGACATTCCAACTGACAGTTGATCACCAGTGGGAGTAATCCGTACATTCTGTGTAGAGCTTATGAACATTCTCCTGCCAGTTGAGTTTCGTTCCTAGTTCCCCGAGTATTGTTGCCTTCATCTATATAGCTGCCCTTCCCCGCCCTCCTCTCTCCTCTCTTTGCCCATCCTTCTCTTCTAATGTTGGGAGTGTCGGTAGTGGTGTATATACTTCCTCCTTTCTCTCTCTTTTAGTTATCATCCCCATAGCTACCTATGCTGCTTGTGTTTGGGAGCATAACGTGTGCTTAATGCCAGTGATGGAGCCTAGATTCAAATTTGCCTGCCTATAGTATTAGTTAAAATGCTATGAATAAATGTATTCCAATTAGTTCCTAGCCGCTATATTCATATTATGTTGTATGTCTTTACTATGGTCCAGAAAATCTACCACAAATGAAATTCAACTTTCCCCTATCCTCCTCATTCTCCCCTCTTTCTCCTCCCTCCCTCTCTCTCTCTCTCTCCTCCCTCTCTCTCGCTTTCTCCTCCCTCTCTCTCTCTTTCTCCTCCCTCCCCTCTCTCTCTCCTCCCTCTCTCTCTCTCCCTCCTCTCTCTCTCTCTTCTCCTCCCTCTCTCTCTCTCTCTTTCTCCTCCCTCTCTCTCTCTTTCTCCTCCCTCTCTCTCTCTATCTCCTCCCTCTCTCCTCCCTCTCTCCTCCCTCTCCCTCTCCCTCCCTCTCTCCTCCCTCTCTCCTCCCAGAGAGCAGTGTCCGAGGGCCACAGCTCTGTACACATCGCCGGCAGAGACAGGCGAGGGCCTCTCCATCTCCCAGGGAGACACTCTCCACATACTCTCCCTCGACAACCAAGAGTGGTGGTATGGAGTTAACGATGCCACTGGAATGACTGGATTCGTGCCTTGTACATATGTCTCTGAGAGTCTCAGGAGTTACAGGTAAAGAGAAGGAATTACCACCCACCACAAGGTAGAGTAGATTACTACTTGCTGCGCATTTTAGTTTAACTTTGGTGAATAATTATATTGTCAGTGAAAGTTTTCCTCATGAAAGTTGCGTATGCTACCAAATTGTAAACGTTTTTCCTTCAAGTTTCGAGCTCTCTGCTGTTGACACAGGTGGTATCTGGGGAACACCAGTCACTCTAATGCCGACAACCTCTTGAAGCAGGAGAGCAACGCCACTGGTGAGTATACCTTGGACCTTGCATGGGCACACAGAGAAAGCAACCTTTAAGCCACTGTAAAAGATATGTGTACTGTCAGGTGGACGACGTTAAGGAGATGCTGGGCTTGTTTTGCCCGCCAATTACAATTAAAGTAGAACGGCTACAACGAGATACGTACTACTAGGTGCAGGGGGAAAAAGTATCTTACTATTCCATACTTCAACTGTAGTCAAAGTAGTAATAATAGTTGGTTTGTCTCTTATTACGCTCATGTGCCTACAATAAATGCAAAATTGTTGACACCCTCAGCTAGGGGAGCAACGAAATTTGGACGAGATAGGATTAGGTTCAGCGAGTAAAAGTATGTTACTATTCCATACTCCAACTGTAGTCAAAGTAGTAATGATAGTTGGTTTGTCTCTTATTACTCTCATGTGCCTACAATAAATGCAAAATTGTTGACACCCTCAGCTAGGGGAGCAACGAAATTTGGACGAGATAGGA